CATTTATATATTTTTCAATTATGAAGCAAGTATATAATTGTGCATTGAACCATTTTTATGATGGGTGCTTTAAAATTTTTGTTGGATAATATCAAGATCTGTGTCACCACATTGACATCGGTTGATTATTTTTTTCCTATTTGAGATTTTCCTCATTCTTGCTATAATGTATGGTTAAAAAAATTATCCTGCACATTTTGTGTGTCATTAGACACTGGGTAGTTTTTAAATATTCTATTTAACAGGCCTCCTCTGACACCATACAAATGGGAGAAGCGGAGTAACCTCATCATTAGTGCCAGGTGGGGGACAGAAATCTAAGTCTCATACTCAGCCTTCCTTGACACCCCAGAGATAAGAGTGCCTTCTTACTGCTAGGCAAAGTTGAGAGTTTTAGCTTTTTGCTAGGTCTCTGATTACATCACCCTGGCAAAAAGGGGGAGAAGTACGTTTTTTTACTGCTTCCCATGTGGTCTCCACTGACAACTTTGGGTAGGAAAATGCCTTGTTACTTCTGGATGATAGAGAATACTCTGGCATCTTACTCAGCCCCCACTGACATTGGTGGAGCAGGGAGTAGGAGGAGTGTCCTGTAACCACTGGGTAGGTGTGGAATCCGAGACCCCTGCTAGGCCCCAACTGATACCATAGAGACATGCTTGTTATCACAGGGCAGTGATAACAGTCTCCAGTCCCCGTTTGATCTTCTCTGATACCACTTTTACAAGAGAGGATGGGACACCACATTACAGCATGGCAAAGGTGGAAGTCTTGTCTTTCTCCACTCTTGTCAGTAGAGTGGAGATGATGCCATAGTTTTTTCCGTGGTGTTTGGCTGAGGAAGGGCAGTTATTGTCTAAAAGTTTTCTGTATCACTAAGTTGCCGCTTTTCTTTTCTTTTGGCTGGAGAGAGCAGGTTTTTCTTGGGAGCATTTTAGGTCTATGCTTATTAATATTTCCATGTTGCTGGCTTTTCTTACCACCCAATCCGAGATATATGAGGCAAAAAGAAAACCCAGGGCACTCATGTTGTTTACCAAGTTCTATGGCGCCTAAATAGTCTATCTTCTTCTCTCCACCTTTTAGGGTCTTCTCATAATCGTGTATACAATGCCTACAAATTTCACCTTTAATTAGTAGAAGGAATAGAGAAGTGCATCCATTCCTTTTTGGTGTGGAATCTAAAGCCTTTAATTGGTTTTTATGAGGTAAATTTGGATGTAGCTTGGTTTGAGTCTGTGGACTCTGCCCAGGAAGCTGGCATATTAGAAGCCCTCTACATTTGGTCACCACAGGAAATTTTTTAAAAAAACAATCTCCTATGTCCAAGCTGCACTACAGGCAGTTAAGTCAGAATCCCTGGGGATAAGATCTAGGTGTCAGTATTTTTAAAACTCCCCAGGTGATTCCAGTATAAAATCAAGGTTAAGAATCACTGCTGCATGATTTTTTGATTAGGGCTAAATTAGAAACACATCTCATACAAGACAGCAGGGAGGCAGAATCAAGAAGAGATTAATCAGCGATTGGAAACTAAGACTTCATGAAAAAAAAAAAGTCTCTGACTAAACCCAGATTTTTTCATCTTTCTCCATATATGCTCTTCAATAAAATATTGTTAAACACTATAATGATGTTTAATATTGTTACCAATTTACTACTGAGTTCTGTTTCCAAAGACAACACATACCTGAGTAGAAAAGTCCACCACAATCTGTTTCTTTATTGTCCCTACTTATGGGAAACTTACCTTAGATTTAGCTTGATAATCTTAAAATGATCCTTAGAGGCAAATTTAATCAAATGTGATTAAAATTTCAGGATTAAACAAAGCTGATTCCAAAAGGGAATAAAAATATCAATAAATCACATAGATTAGACAAGAATCAATCCCTATTCACTCAGTTGTGTTCTAGTGACCATTTCTGGTTATCTTCTCTGTTTTCCTCTTTGAGATCTTCTCTGTCACCAAGAATGAGTCTACAGCAAAGGTAGGTTTCATTCATTGCACGTTAGGTTGGAAATGGTTCTAGTGATCACAGAGCCCAGTCCCCATTGTGCACCAAGGAGAAAATTGAGGTCTAGAAAAAGGAAGGGTCTCACTACAGCTAGGGAATTAGGGAATGGCGGAAGTGAGACAAGAATTCAGATCTCCAGCATGTTCTTTGAGTGATACCACGGGGGCCAAGGAAACAGTATAATCGATGTAGTTACTCACGTTATATGGGAATTAGTATATTATAAACTGAAGATATTTTGAAACTAGTATGTGATTCTTGAAAACTCCTAGGGAAACTGTCTGATGTAGCTTTCCAAGCTGAACACTATGAGGAACTCAACGGGATAAAAATACTCGTTCTTGAGGCCTGTCTTAAGGAGGCAGCTGTGGTATAGTGGACAGTGCTGGACCTCAGAGTCAGACAGACTTGGGCTGAAATTCAGAATGTCACTTGCTGCTATATAGTCATAGAAAAAATATCAAACCTTTGTGAATTTTAGTTTCTTCTTTTGCAAAATAAAGATTGTAAAGGATGCCTACCGCCTAGGAATAGCATTGTATTGAATAAGTATTGAATAAGACAAAGTATGGAAGTAGAAAAGCACATGAGCAATAATCACCAAATATAGTTTTTCATCCACCTTCTCTTTCACTAAACTACTCCTTAGAAAGGAGCTCCTAATGAAGGTAAATTGCTCCCACTAGAATCCACAAGGAAGAAATGCTATGTAGAAGATCGCCAGGTGGCTGCACAGCTGCCCTCAGTGGGGATCCATTTTGTCCAGACATGCAGCATGTGAACCCCCAACACTCGTGTGTACACTGTTTCTGTGGCCTTACAAGGCTGCCAGGTACACAGAAACTTGCCAGTCACACTGTGGGCATAAAATGAACTGTCATCATACCAGCCTAGAAATATGCAAGTGTTTAGTCCCTGATGAAAAGGTTATTAACAATCACCTAAGAATCCTGTTTGACCATTTGATGACTTGCCTGTTGCTTTAATCCATCTATTCACAGAGATCTCGTTTCCCCATGTCCTTCTGGGGTATAGAGTGGGGGTTCTCTGCCCTTTGACTGACACAGGCACATACTGAAATCAACTCCAGAACAGATAAGGGTTGCCCAAATGCTAACCATTCCTATGCTTTTATTATCATCCATCAATCAGAGGATTCAATCTCCTCCACTGTACCACCATTTTTATCAAGGGAGAATGCAAGTCCCAGTTAGGCTTTAAAAAATGCCTTTGCTCAGAGTTATGATAAATACACAAGACCTGGCCTCTTACCTCCTGGTAATTCTAGTCACTTCTCCCCAATTCTGTAGTGGTTCCCTCAATAAACCCTTCTACAGCCTGTGATAGTATTTCCCAATATTGCTTTTCCTATACACACCCCTAAGCCTTAGTGGTTTCCTCTGTCTTTTCTCCTTTGGTTTGAGTGATACCTCCTAAGTTTTCCTCCTCTAAGTTCTGCCTAGATGCTTTCTCTCCATCTTTTCTCTGGGTTACGTAGGGTATAGAGAGACTAAAAAGAAGAGAACTGAATAGGACTCCAGTTTTGCCTCTTTCTTTTGCCCTGAATTGAGTAATTAAGTGGTGTTTGTGTGTGTGTGAGAGAGAGAGAGAGGAAAAGAGATTGCTTATAGAATCAGTCCTGATAATGTGCACTTTTTAGAAAGTAAATTAGTAAACCAACAGCAGTCTACTCAGAGATCAGTAATCACAGAATACTTTTGTAAAACAGCTTTATTGAGAAATATTCTGTATATTATAAAATTCATCCATAATTTCATGTATACAAGTCAATGATTTTTATTAACTTTATTGAGTGGGGCAGACACCACCATAACTAAATTTTAGAACATTTTTATCCTTTAAATAAGATTTCTCATGCCTATTAACATTTAATTGTTTTTTTCTCATGCCCATTCCAAGGCAACCATTAATCTACATACTGTCTTGATTAGCATGCTTTTTGTGGACATTATATATATAAGAAATCATACAATATGTGGTCTCTTGTATCTGGCTTATTTTACTTGGCATGATTTGAAGTTCATCTACAATGTATCATGTGTCAGAAGTTAAATCTTTTTTATTGCTGAATAGTATTCTATTATATGTATATACCGTAACTTTTTATCTATTCATCAGTTGATGGACATTTGGGTTATTTGCACCTTTTGGATATTATAAATAATGTTTCTATATTTGTATACAAGTATTGTGAGTACATATTTTTTAATTATATTGGGTATATACCTAGGAGTGATATTACTGGATCATACTCTAGCTTTAGCTTTTAGAAAAACTCCAGACTGTTTTCAGAAGTGGCTATACCATTTTATAATTCTACCACCACCATATGAGGTTTCTCATTTTTCCACATCCTTGCCAACATGTGTTGTTGTCAAGATTATAGAATATTAAAGATGGAAGGAAATTTGATTTTCCTATCTCTTAAATTAAGTTATAGTAAAGTGTAGCATTCATAATTAAATAGTGTCTCTTTAGATGGTCCCTTTAATCTGGTAAGATTATCAACACACATAGAGACCCTGAAATGGCAAGGCAGTAAGAAGTAATCATCCAGATTCTCTAGCTAGAATATGCTTGTATTTTAAGAAATTATGATCAAAATGAAGACACACACACACATACACACAGACACACACGTAAATTCCTAGAGATTTTGCAGACCTCAGAAGACTTGTGTGCAGTTCCCTAGGGCCATGGAACCCTGTTTGAGAAGTATTAGTTTAGAACACAACAGTTTCTAGTAGATCCTTATCCCAGAGGATAATATAAATGACATAAACACTTTTAGAAAAAAGAAAGAGAGCTTGGACTATAACCCAGATCTCCTGTGTGACAAGTCAGTGAATCCCAGCAATACTGATGATCAGAAACATATTTTTTTTGCTGTGCTCACTGAGAAGAGACACACCAGCAAAATAAGGCACCTGGCTCTCTGAAAGTAGAGAAATAAACAAGGTGTTTGGATATATTTCTGTTTATTGGCCAATATAAAATGCTTGCAGAGAATCATAAACAAACATAGCTCTGCCAGTATCTACACATGCATATGGCTCAAGATTTAACAAAATATCTATAAATAACACATTTATGAGAAAAAAATAATTAAAATATACCAATATTCAATGTAAAACACCGAAGACTTAGCTAGTGAGGTGGGGTTGGCAGGGAGGAGGGGAACAAGAGGGATTTGATCTCAATGTGCCAGGGCTGTCTGTTGTGGAGGGGTATGCTGCAGTACCGAATCCTTTCCTAGCCTGGATCTGAGAATCCTGGAAGAAAAAATTGTTTTCCCAGACTCCCTCCTGTCAAAATCCAAGTCAAGGTGTATGGAGAGAAAAACAGTAAACCAAAAAACCCAATTCATTCTCAACGAATACTTTCCCACTTCCTTACAAACAAAAACTACATTTTTTTTCTTTTGCTAGTTCATATGAAGACAATTTAACTATTGTTTAGGCTCAAGGGTGTGTTAAAAATGTTTCTATCAAGTGTATTTTGTGCTTCCACTGACCAATAACCCCTTTGTCGAAAAACACATAAAAGCATAGTGCTCAAACAAATATGTCCCAAACTTTAAAAGCATTGAAAAGGAAAACTGTAAAAAGAACTCTCCTGAAGGAAATACTCAACTATGACATTTGCCATGGCCCAACCGGAAATTATAAAGCAAAACATCCTTCACTTCACCTTTGCCCAAAATACCTTAAAATGCAAAGCCAATTGCCACCTCCAATTGCTGACCCATAAAAAGTTGGAATTAAGGTGATTCTGGGTATGGCTTGGGCTGTTCACATAATATTCGTGCCATGAGCAAGCACAGTGAAGAAGGCTGGCTCTGGCATTTTATCATATTGTTATTATTATTATTGTGTTACAACCATTATCTTTCCTCTAGAGCAGTGGTGTTAAATGTGGGCTTGAACTACTGCCAACCACATGGCAGCCTTTGAACACCCACAGCACCCGCAGCCTGCTCAAGCAGAATCATCCTTTCTCTGGATACTACTACTTCTCCCAGAAGGTGTAAACAGGATCAGTGAAAGTCAGTGAGATAATAATAAACTGTAGCAGAAACAAAACAAAACAAAACAAAACACACCACCAAAAAACACAGCACCTAAAGGCCAAGGCCTAAACCGTTGGTTGCCACATATTTGCTAAGACATATGCGGGGCCAGGCTGCTTGCTTGGTACAAGCTTCTATTTTAATTGCTTCTAATCCTCAGTCCAGTACAATGAGAACTTTTTTGCTTTTTTCCCAAGTACTTTTAGCAATCTGATCAATTGGTTGCCTCAGGGGCCCTTAATCACTCTTTGTAGACGGACTAAAGTATTTACTAAAAGTATTTATGTATTAAAACTCTAAAGTATTTAACAAAACTCTAAAAGCAAAAATCTCGACGTAGAGAGCACTCTTTTGCCAGAGCTAGAACCTAGTGATGAAGTGCACATTCTGCCTAATGTACTTAATGAACCACCTAATACTTGTGGGACAGGAGCTAACTGTACAAGTTTCAGACAGATTCTCAGATAATAAAGAATACAACCTCCATGGAACTTGTTTTTCTCTGAGCATGAGATGTATAGGTGGAAACTAAAGGTAAAAAGATAACTGAGAAAGAATCAAAGGGAACAGTGGTGAGACAGCTGAGATTCAATTGATATTTCAATAGAAAGAGGCATACTCAGATATCCCTAAATGGATTGAGGGCTGTCTTTGAGGGACTGCTGGGAGGTAGCCTGGGAAACCCAGGCTCCAGAAGGAAGATTACTTTGGTTCAGAAATGTTCTGTAAGGTTCCAAAATGGCAAACTTCAGCCCTCCTTCCTGCTGAGGGTGGAGAGCACCAAGAATACAGGACGAGGCCCAGGGGATCTAGAGGGAAAATGTTTGCCCTGCCCTATGCTGTAGAGCAGGACCATTGTTCTTCAAACATATACAATACCCTACAACTGCCCCAGGGAGTGCAGTGAGTCTAGAGAAGAAGGCAGAAGAAAACTTATAATCTGTAGGGGGTGAGAAATAGAGGGAGAGAAAAGTAAAAAATTATTTATCCTGCCCCAACTGAACTAAGATGCAGATGAAATCATGTGCTATTTTTTTTTTTTTCCATAGGAGACTACACTGCTGCCTCGGAGACACTCAACAAACTATGGGGCCAGCTACTTTTCCTGCGAGTGGGGATGGGCTGTCTTAATCTCCTAATCTCTCTCCCATGCTCCTTAATGATCTTTTAAGGATCATTTACACAGTGTCTAGTGAGGAGAAATAACTAAAGAGGGCCTTTCAACAACCCCGCTTGTCTCAATGCCATAGCCAAGCCTAGTTTCTGCTCTAGCTGCCCTTCTCTGGCCTCTGCTCTCAGTCAGGAAATGCACACTTGGGTCTGTGGGTGGATGTGCAGGCCGTACTATCTTTCTCAAATATGAATTACTTTGAGTAAGTCACTATTGTTTTGGCCTCAGTTTCCTCATATTTAAAATAAGCATAATGTATCAATGAGGTTTTTTAAAACTGTAAAGCGCTAAATTGTTATTGACAGTTTTGCCCAAACATTTACAGTATCTGTCTAGGCTTTTAAAGATGGGATAATTGCCCATTCCGACTTTTAAATAAAGTTAAAGCCTCAAGTCACCCAAACTAAAATTAGAGACTCAAATTGCAGAAAGGAGAAGTGGGGGAACTGGGGAGTGGGAGGTAAGTGGGAGAAAGGAAAATGAATGCTCCTACTGGCTCTAGCCTATATCCCTTCTTTCACACCCAAGGGACCAAAAAAAAAAAAGAAAAAAAAAGACAGGAAGAAAGAGCCCTGTCTAGCCTCTCAACCCTTCACATTTTCTAACCTCTTTGGGACAGTGATGAATGGCAAATCTCTTAGCTTTCCACTGTGGTCCAACCTGGCAGAGAATGTACCAGGCTGGCAGAAAGAGGAGTGGGAAACTGGCAGGACAAAGAGAGAACAGGCTTCATATGATGGGCAAGGACATTACCTCATTCATATTCAGGCAAAAGGGCCTTATATGTCTATCTATCCCTTTTCCTTTCCGAAAGAGTTGTTTTCTCAAACAGATATGGCAAGAAAACAAAACATCCTCCTACCCCATAACATTTTCTTCCAGAAAATGAAGATTTGAAGATATTGAAGAGGCCATGAAGGCACCCTAGCTTGCTGTTCACCTCTGGATAACTGAATAGCTTAAAGCCAATCACTTTCCATCTCTGGGCTTCAGTTTTCTCATCTGTCAACTGGGGATGATAATCTCTGCCTTGCCCACCTCTGGGTCTGTGTAAAAATCCAATGAGATGATGACTATAAAAGCATATTGCAAAACGTAAAGTAAGACACCCATAAATGTAGTGAATTCCAGCATTCTTAACCTAGGATAACTGTGCCCTATCTTGTCTTGATTTTTTGCAAATTGTCAAGTCTAACATCGCAGACTATATAAGGTGCTTTCAAGTGAAGGAGCCAGTTGCTCCAATCGTCTGAGTGCTTTTTCTTTCCAAACTTGACACATTTTGAGGGAGTGGGAATCAGCCCAATTGGCCCATTATGGACAAAAGGGGAGAGTTAAAAATAACTTGTGATGCTCGCACCTGAGCCCTGAGGGTCTCATTTGCTCTGTTTGTTATCAGAGAGCCATGGAAAGAGTAGTTTTCTTCATGCTGAGAAGCATGGGAAACTGGTATTAAGAGCCAATGAAATGCTATTTTTTTTTTTTCCAAACCAATAAAGCACAAAATGGTCCCTAAGCTGCCTTAAGGCCAGGCCTCAGTGAGAACTTTAGCTCTTCGGTCCCTGAGACCTCAGGAGCTTCACTGTCAACCCAGAGTCCAAGGCTCTGAGCTTTGAGTTGATCTTGGAGTCTAGAGACTGAGTTTTGGGCTTTAGAAGATGAGGAACCTGGAAGGGACAAAAGAGGCAGGAAGAGAAGAGAAATAAATGTTGAAAGTAACTTTAAGAAGGACCATTAAAAAAAAGACACTAGTTTAAATCCACACTAAATAAGGGTAGAGATCTACTTGTAGGGAAGAGGACCTCAGCAAATGTGCTGGCTTCAGAGCTGTCACAACTAGTGAAGTCTATGAGACATGAGCTGGGGAATTATGGCACCAGGCCTCCCCCAAGATAGATATTAATACGTGTGTGTGTGTGTATGTGTGTGTGTGTGTGCACGCATGTGTGTTGAGGAAAGAGGCAGTGTTGAGGAGCTAAAAAGGGAGAAGGGTTTGATTTTGTCCTTAAAGTGCTGGGTAGATGTGCCGACACAATTCTGAGAGGCTTACCTGACCAAAAATGCAGGCATGAAAACCCCACCCCATTCACTGTCCTTCTCTCTTTTCTATAATCAAGTTGAGCTAGGAACATGTCTGGTAGTCCCAAGAATGGGAAATCTGGCTCCCCAGGCTACAATGGGGAAGCAAGAAATGCTGCAGATCAGTCCTGGTGAAATGGAGAATCAATTCTCTGGTGAGATGGGATAGAATGTGCCCCATCTGTAGAATATTAGCTGTTGTGGACACATTTCAGGCCCCTGTTGTTGTTGTGGTATAGGAACAAGGAAGCAGAGTCCAGAGAGAACAACTGGGCAAGGCTGCCAGGAGCCCAAGAGACCTAGGGAGAGAGCAGATCAAATTAGAAATGTGGGGAAATCTCACTAGTATCCTTTTCTCTCTACCTCTCCAAATATCATACGTTAAGCCAATGGTTGAGGTTATGACAGCAGAAATACATTACGTAGACAGGGATATGACAATTCTACCCTATTCTACATTGGTGAAACCATTTATCATGAAGATGGGTTTAGTTCTAAGCTCCACAAAATTTAGAAGAACCTAAAGTGGTATTCTCCAGAGATGCAATGTTATCTTTAAGCCTCTGCAGGGCTATCACAAAACAGAGGAAACAGATGAGGTCTGTCTGGCACAAGGAACAGAGCCAGGATGCATAGGTAGGTACTTAAGGGAGACAGAAAGCTCTGTTTTTACATTGACTTAAAACCTGCCAGTCACAATTGTGTATATTGTAATATACATTGAGAAGTAGTCAGCTCTCTGCCACTTCCAGTATGTGAGCAAGGACTACACAAACTCTTAGTGGGAATATTATAAAAGGGACACATGCCTCGGAAGAAGAACTGGACTAGATAACCTTGACGGTACCTAAGTTTACTGATTTGATATCAGTTATAACTTTCAAATTTGGTATCAGTTATGACTTTCAAATGTACATTTGTTCACATTTTCTTAGGTTGGATGTAGGGAGCAGGGAAGTCATTGGGAGAAATGAAAATGTATTAACTGAAGAAATACATCAGTGGGCGATACAAGGTATTTGATTAGTTGCAAACTGGAAATCTACCTCCTGTCCTATCTTACGCTACTTAAGCCTTTGAGAAGGTAACATTGGCTATCAAATCGTTGCAATGGTGCAGTTGGATGAACTCTAAAATGGAGCCCCCAAACCTGGGTTACTGCCCAGTTCTAGCCCACGAATTTGCTCTGTGACTTTGAGAAACTAATTTTCCCTCTTTGTGTCTCAGTTCTTGCCTCTGTAAAATGAAAGAATATGCACAAGGTTCGTATAGCTATTAGGGAATGGAGGTTGATTTGAAACATAGGGTTTCCAGATGACAAGGCTTGTATATATTTTTCTACTGTGCTATGCTCCTTGTACATATAAAGGGAGATACCTGAATGTGACCATTAGATAGTGGGGCCCTGAAAGAGCTTGGGAAAGTCCAGAATGGAGACTGGCGTCATGACAGCCTTGCCAGTTCCCTGACAATTGGAGACCCAGAAGTGTGATATCTGTCTGGCTAAAAAATCAGCATCACCGCTGTTGTCCCTCCACCCACAAGTGTTCCTAGCTTGCTGCTGTTCCTCCACTCCTTGTGAACAATAATATTCCAGAGGGGAATTCCTTGAGGGCGGTCCCTAATTTCTGTTTTGCTTTTTTTTCTGATCCATCTTTCTGGCTCACCTCATTAGAGTTAAGGGCTGGGAACTTCAAAGGGCACATTGAGCTCCAGCCTGTCTCCTGTGCTTTCAGCTGTGTTTTCCCCCAAGGTCTCAGCTCCAGTATAGGAGGCAGAGCTGGAAAACTTTTGCAGGTCCAGCTCTGTGCATTCGATGGGGTTGTGGACCCAGTGGGAGTGGCTCTCTGAGGCGCAGGAGGCCATGGTAAAGGACTCCTGTGTGGGGAAGCCACCAGTCGAGCTGCAGTCGTCCTCGAGGATAGGGTTAAGTGGCTGCGTCTGAAAGATGCTCTCACTCACTTGGGACTCAGGACTGGTCTCCTTGCTGGGTGGCATGGGGAAGAGAGATTCTTCCTCTGCTGCCTTATCAGCCTCAAATTGCAGCGAACCTCCTGCAACTCGAAGCAGAAAGCCACTGGGTTACCCAAAAGCAGGTGCTCTTCTCAGCTCAGCACTGGGTACTGAGCAAAAGATAGGGAGATGTCTGGGAGCTGATTCTTCCCTTCCTCTCCCTGGGGACTAGAGCACCTAGCACCAGGCTGAGGTGACACAGTTGAAAAACATACTTACATTTGGGTATCAGATTGGGGCTACCTGGTACTGGATCAGGGAAAATAATCAATTTCTCTAGACAAAAAGAAACCTTTGTGGAAAACAGGATTTTGATACCTTCTCCCTTGCCATAATCTTCATGGCCTCGTGTTATGTCTGTACACATTATTTTATATGACAAACTAGACTCTGCAGATGGAATTAAGGTTATGGAGCTCAAAATAGGGAGAGAATCCTGGATTATTCATATGAGTCCAGCGTACTCCTGTGACCCTAAAAGCAGAAGAGGAAGACAGAGGAGACAGAGAGTATGAGAGAGATGTGGCATGAGAGAAACTCAACTCACCATTGCTAGTTTTGGAAATAGAAGGGGGCCGTGAGCCAAAAAAAGTAAGGGGCCCTAGGGGCTAGGAATGGCCTTCAGCTTAAGGTCAGCAAGGAAATAGGATCTAAGCCCTTTAACTCCATAGACCTGAATTCTGCCACCTGTATGCATGCTCAAGCAAACAGATTATCTCCCCAAGCCTCCAGAAAGAAACAGAGCCCTGCCAATATCTTAATTTTGGCATTGTAAGACTCTAAACAGAGACCGAACAGCCTGCTGAACTTCTAAGCTATGGAAACTGTGAGATCATAAGCTACTAAATGTGTGGTGATTTGTTATGATGATAGAAAAGTAATACACCTTTTATGCATAGGTCTGATTCAACATCAGGTCACAAACAGAACCTCTGAGATGTGTGTTTGTCTGGACTCTTAGCTTTGGTTGTGATTTTGCTCTTTATTCAAATTCGTTGACTATGTTTACCACAATTTTACAAAAAAATCCAGATTTCTGAATTTTCTTGAAAGTGTAGAAGATTCTGGAACACTAAATATTTCCAAATGGTTACAAAGACCTGGAGCTGAGTAGTGGATTCCCCTTTAGACAAGGGAGCGCTCTCTACTTTACCACAGTTGCTACTTGTCTCTTTTGCAACCTTACATTGGATCTAATTCATACATACATCTCACCCCGGTATGTGTGTAAGTCAGTGACTCCTGAAAAAGTTTTCCAACATGAGAAAATGTCTAGCTCTCCTACCCCTTATAAAAACACTGGGGAAGCTTCCTGCCCTTATATTCCAAGAAGGCTACCACATTATTATCTTCAGGATAGGACAGCAGAAAAGGGTTACCCATCTCTCCTCTCCCGAGGCAGCTCTCAGATATTCTCTCATTTTCATCTTCTAGACCCTGGGGTCCAAATGCTTCATTGCTCATGTTTCACGTCCATGCACCCAGGGACTAAGTAACACCTCCTATCTGGGACACTGGCCTCCAAAGTCAGAGACAGGAGGGTCTACCCTGAGTCACAATGTCCCAGGGGCTAGCAAAGAGTAGACAAGAGAGAAGTAGACTTTGAGAAGGATCATAAAGGGACAACAGTGTTCCCCATGTATCCTATAGCCCATGAAATGCTATTTTCATCTCCATTTAAGCCAGGGCACAACCAAATATACCTCTTGGGTTTTTCAAGATCATCTGCCAGGCCCCAGAGCCAAACTGACCAAGGCAAATCTACATTAGCAGGATCTTCCAGCACAAACAATGCTGCTTTGGGTCCAGTGTCCAGTGGGCTGAAAAGAAGCCCTGAGCACTCTTTTATCTAGTAAACTTTATTATCCTCCTTATAAATCAACTTCATTTTCTGGTCTGAGTTCCTATTTCAGTGTCTCTGCCTAACTCTCAGTTCCCTTAATGGCACTGAAGCTGCAATGAACCTTGGTATTCTTGGCCGGAGTTCTAACTCTTTGCCTGGTCCTGACCAGCCACCTTCTCACTTCCTCCATCTTTGCCCTCAGTGAGCTGGATTTTCTGTCCCATATTCTTGTCTAGTAGCTGAAGTTGTGCTTAATAAAGATCACAATGTCAGTGTGACTTTTTTTTGTTTTTACATTATGGTAAGTTGTATAATTATTTTATTATACATTAGTAGTAATAATAATAGAAATAAATTGAACAATAAATATAATGCACTTGAACCATTCTCTCCATGGTCTGTGGAAAAATTGTCTTCCATGAATTCATCTAGTATGACTTTATATATGATTTTCCATCTGGAATTTTGCATGGCCATCTGATATGGACTGGGCCAGACCTCTTGGACATCAGTATTATTTGAGGAAAAAAGTCTAGGTTTGCCAACTCTTCTGGACATTGGGGTTTCAGTTATCTCCATTTGTGAAGTTAGTATACTGATAGCAGTTGCCTTAGACCTCAACCACTTTTATTTCAGTCATATCCCAGATATAGGCGAGCCTTTCTCAATTCCTGACATGCTCTAGAATTTATACCTAGTAGTATAGATATAAAGAATTGCAAAAGAACTCAGAAATCAAAAAGATCAATCCTATCTCTTAACAATTAGGAAGAAAGAGTTCTGAAGAGGCTAGATGGCTTGTCTAAGGTTACGTAGTAATATAGAGGTAGTTGTAAAACATAGGTCTCTGGCTTCCTTTCCTGTGGTATCCCACCATACCACAATCCTTTACAAACCTCTGAAATGTAATGAACCAGGTCTTCTAAACTCTCAGGGTTAGCCTCAGTAATCTCTGAAGACCCATGCTTCCTACTGCAGCCCCAGATAGTTCGCCAGACAGAAGACTATTCATGGGGTTTTCAAGCATGTTAGAAAAGGCACATTATTTCTCAACCTCAGAACAGTCCTCTCTTCTGCCAATAAGAGCCTTGTTCCTGATTCATGTGAAATGTTAAACAGCCACCCTTACCACGCTGGCAATGTCTGTTGAAGAACTGCTTGCAGTAGAGGAAGAAGAGCCCCAGGAAGGCCAGGGTAAATACCACTAGCAGGCTGCTCACCAATGCAACAAGTGTGGCCTCCTGAGGGGGCACTGTGGGTTCATCTGCCTCCACTAAGCTCAACTGGAAGGCACCTGTGAGACAAAAAAAAAAGTGGGGGGGCAGGTCAGTTAGTGAGGGCAGTTAACAGTCACCCTGACCCTGGGCCTGGACTTCCTCAGGCTGTCACCCTTCTCCCTAGGGCCTTCCCCAGTTAGAGTGCCTATGCTCGTTTTACTTCTTTCCAGAGCAGGCAAAATTATAAAGAACAAGGCAAAAGAATTTGCACATACTGCTGGTATGTACAAATTAGTACAATTAATCGAAGATGCACATATCCTATGATCTTTCCATGCCACATTTAATAATACAATCCAGATAAATGGCAACAAGCTAAAACATTCATCATTAGAGCACAAGATAAACAAATCATGATATAATCCTAAAATTTTATATTATCACACAGCACTTGAAGACCTTTATGGATCAATGTAAATAATCTATAGGGGAAAAAGCAAATTGGAGAAAGAGAACATGTAGCTTGATATCATTTGTATAAAACATTATAAAATACATAACAGTATATATTGGTTATGAATATGTACATATATCACAAAAGAATCCAAGTATTAAAACATTAGTGGAGAGTATGGCAGAGGCATAGTGCTTACCAATTATCCACATGATCCCCTGTATTCCCCTAATACCCTTGCAGTAAGGCCATCAGAGTACTTCTGGCCAATGAACTGTGAGTCGAAATAACATGTGTCAATTCCAGACTGAGGCAGTTAATAACCAGTATGTCTCCTCCATCTCTTCCCCTGTATCATTGACCTGGAAGCTATACGGTTTAGAAGCCACAGTCAAATGAGGTAGGAAGGTTATTGAATAGTGAAAAATAAACTTTATTGTATAAAGTCACTGAGATTTTGCAGTTTGTTTGTTACTGTAGCATAGTCTACAAACAGAATACATATAATTTCAGGACAGTGGTTGTATCTGAGGAGGTAGGGAGATAATAGGACTGAGAGGATCGTGAATTCCATTATATCTGTGAAATCTTCATTCTTTAAAAAAATCTGAAGCAAACATGCAAAATGCTATGATTTATCAGCTTTGGATGGATGCTGGGTAATTGCATTTTAATTTTACATTTTTCTGCACTTAAAATATTTTTATGTGTTTGAACTTTTTCATGATTTAAAAATATATATCAATAATTTAAAAATAACATGGAAATAGATGGAAGACAAAAATGATAGTAAGATAAATGGATACTGATATAGGCATAGATTAGACCCTAGCTCTTCATTCAGCCGTTACAAGTCCTCAGCCCTCGGGCCTCCTATATATTTCATATAATAGTAATCTCTCATAAGTGTACATGTGTTATAATTTGTAAAGCACTTCCTAATACCCATTTTATCATTAGACCTAGACAGCCACCACACAACGTATGAAGAAAAATTATTATCATGACTCACATTTTTTTTCAGAGGAGGGAAATGAGGTTCAATGAGTTTGAATGATTTGCAGAGGGTTACATAGATAATATGTCATGAAACCAGAATTCAGATCTGATTCCCTTGCCACTCTACTCTACAGGAAAGGGTACGAGGGGATAGGGGAAGTCTTTACTACCCTATCTTGCTGCTACCCAATGGGTTGAGGAGGAAAGGGAAGAAGATAACTTGAGTACACACATTGAACCTCAGAGGTGGGGGTCTGCTTCGTGCATGGGATGCACTCTTGGTCCTGCAGGCCTCCAATGCGTGTCTTTCGGTAGAACCTGTGATCAGAGCAAATAGGAATGGCAGGGTGATCAAACAAGCAATGCATTTGGACCTGTTCTTCCTGGAAAAACAGCTCCTAAGAATTTTGCCAACCTGAAAGTAAGTGCCCACCCATCATTGTGAGTTATCTGCCTCTGTGTCTTATTCTGACTCAGAAGCCTAGACACTCCACTTCTTTCCCCATTCACCACACCATGTAGCCCAAAGGAGACCTAATTCCACAAGAGAGGGGAGCATTGCTTTGCTACCAAATACACCATAACTTCTTTTAAGTCTACAGTGAGATTTATCTTGAACTTTGTTCCTAGGCTGAGAGTGATGATGAAAAAGCTGTCCAGTACTCATCTGTGACTGACAATGTGCTAGGCACTTTATAGAGGAATCTTAGGAACATACCACTTCTCTCTTCTGGGAGCTTAAACTGAATATTATGTTGATGGTTAGAATACCTCAACTAAGTTCTAAGAGGTGAGGATGGGAGAAACCTCCAACAGCTAGAAAAGCCCAGACAAACTTGGTCTCATAAACCAGGCTCACCTGGGCAGACAGTCTCCACAGACAGCATTAGAAGTAGCTGTGCAGTTGATATTCTGAACACGATTGATGACAGCACAGGTGATGCAAGTCTGACATCTGTGGTGGCCCCAGCTGCTTTTGTACCTGTGAGGAGGGCAGGCTATGCAGTATGCATCTCCACCCTCTCCATAACCACAATCCTGTAGAGAGATGGGAGTTGTTAATATTGCTCTATAGGAGCTTGGAGATGGGATCACCTATGGGACAAGTGGACTTGTACGGAGTAGTATTTTGCAAACTGCAAGTTGTAATGCCACTACTAGGTCATAAGACCAATTCACTAGGTTGCAGCCAGCATTGAAAGATAAAACAGAATAATAGTATCAAATATAAGAGTACATAGAATGAAGCAAAGCTAAGTATTTGTATCAGTCAGCATAGGCTGGTCTTTGCAAAAGGCAAACCCTAAATTTCAGTGTCTTAAAATAATAAAAGTTTATTTCTCACTTATTTGCCTACCAAGGGGTTCCTGAGGGCTCTGCTCTACATCATCCTCAATGGGGTACCCAGAGTTACAGAAGCTTTATCTTTGTGCTGCCATGATTACAACATTGTGAGCTATGTACAAGCTCTTAAAGTTTTCCCCAAGAAATGACCCATATTGCTTTACTCACATGTCCTTGGCCATACACATCACATGATCATTAATAACTACAAAGGGTACAAGAAAATGCAATTCTTCAATGTGGTGGAATGTGGGAAGCTGAAATATTTGACAAATAGTCTTAAGCACTACCCACATCAGTACTGTTTTATAAAAGTTTTACAGATAAAATACACGAAAGTCAAGCTTTCAAGATGGCGGTAGCTGAGGGGTTGACTGAGAGGCCGAGTTGAAGGCCCTTACCAAGTAAAAGAGGTCAGGAATCACTCCCTCCCCGCTTCTTGCAGTCCTGGGAGCACAGCAGAAGTGTTTTCTTTATTTAACGAACAAGTAAACCATACAAATTGTCAACATGGGACGGAGATCTACATCATCCACTAAGAGAGGAAAATTTATGAACCCCACAGATCAAGCCTGAAAGGAAGCCCAGAAGCAAGAATTAAAGGACAAAAAACAGCGCATGACGGTTCGAGCTGCAGTTTTAAAGATGAGGGATCTAAAACAGATTACCCGAGATATGGAGAAATTGGATGAAATGGAGTTTAACCCAGTGCAACGGTCACGATTAAATGAGAAAATACTGAATGACAAGTGTAAAAAGATGGGTGAAGCCTTTGAACGTATTCTACAACTCTATGAAAAAGAGAACAGATATTCACAAAGAATTGAGAAAGCTAGAAGTAGAGTATGAACAGAAGAGGGCTCAACTTAGCCAATATTTTGATGCTGTCAAGAACGCTTAGCATGTGGAAGTGGAGGGTATTCCTTTGCCAGATATGCCACATGCTCCTTCCAACATTTTGATCCTGGACATTTTACTTCTTGGTGCCCAGCCATCCTCCATCTTAAAGAAAACCTCAGACTATGGACCTCCAACTCGGGCAGTTTCTATCCTTCCTCTTCTTGGACATGGTGTTCCACGGTTGCCCCCTGGCAGAAAACCTCCTGGCCCTCCCCCGGTCCACCTCCTCCTCAAGTCTTGCAGATGTATGGCCATAAAGTTGGTTTTGCCCTAGATCTTCCCCTTCTTAGGTGAGATGAAGACATGTTATATAGTCCTGAACTTGCCCAGCAAGGTCATGATGATGTTTTTAGCACCAGTGAAGATGATGGCTATCCTGAGGGCATGGATCAAGATAAGCATGATGACAGTACTGATGACAGTGACACTGACAAATCAGATGGAGAAAGTGAGGGGGATGAATTTGTGCACCGTAATGATGGTGACAGAGACAACAATGAAGAAAAGAAGTCAGGTCTGAGTGTATGGTTTGCAGATATGCCTGGAAAATCAAGGAAGAAAAAGAAGAATATGAAGGAACTCCTCTTCAAGCCATGATGCTTCGTATGGCAGGTCAAGAAATCCATGAGGAGGGACAGGAAGTAGAGGAATTTTCAGAAGATGATGATGAAGATGACTCTGATGACTCTGAAGCAGAAAAGCAATCACAAAAACAACATAAAGAGGAATCCCATTCCGATGGCACATCCACTGCTTCTTCACAGCAGCAGGCTCCCACGCAGCCTGTTCCTCCTTCTCAGGTACAAGCACCTCCCATGCCAGGACCACCACCTCTTTTACCACCACCTGCTCCACCATTATGGCCTCCTGGGCCATCTACGGTCCTTCCTCCTGGTCCACCTCCCTGAGCTCCTCCATTCCTGAGACCACCTGGAATGCCAGGACTCTGAGGGCCTTTACCCAGACTTTTACCTCCAGGAGCACCGCCAGGCTGACCCCCTCTTTGGGGACCCCCACCAAGGCTACCTCCCCTTGCATCTCCAGGTATTCCTCCACCTCGTCCTGGCATGATGCGCTCACCTTTGGCACCTCCCCTTGGACCTTCCCCCCGCTAGGCTTTTCCCACCAGCTCCCTTGCCGAACCCTGGGGTTTTAAGTGCCCCACCCAACTTGATTCAGTGATCTAAGGTGGATGATACGAGTGCAGCCACCATTGAGAAGAAAGCCACAGCAACCATCAGTGCCAAGCCACAGATCACTAATCCCAAGGCAGAGATTACTCAATTTGTGCCCAATGCACTGAGAGTACATCGGGAGAATAAAGGGGCTATGTCTGGCTCCCCGAAGAAAGTCAGAGGATGATTTGGCTGTTCCTCTTGCCAAAGCAGCACCCAAATCTGGTCCTTCTGTTCCTGTCTCCGTACAAACTAAGGATGATGTCTATGAGGCTTTCATGAAAGAGATGGAAGGGCTACTGTGACAGCTTTTGATGCCAGAACAGGCTTCTGTTCATAACAGTGGCCCATGGAGAAAGAGACTCTTATTAAACTTAGATGAAAGAGCTGCTTCCATCGTCAGAGTATTTTCTAATTTCAGTTCAAGGAATATCCTAAAATTTAGCCTTGTCCAAAATTTACTGCACATAAAAGAGAGTATTTCATTCAGAACAGATCAGTTATTGAAGCAGTGCTGCTAACATCATTCCCTTTCACACCATCATTTTCATCCTGTTTCTTCCCGTTCTCCAGGTCTCTGGAAATTTGTGATCAGACGGATCTTAGTTGCTTATTTTGTTTTGATTCTTCTTGCGTGTTGTGGGCACTGGAGTAGAGATTTCTGATAAAAGCAGTTTATTTCATCTTGCCTTTTGTGTTTATTTTTAATATTTTCCTGTAAATATGTTGTAATATTTTACTTGTAATGAAATGGATCACAGTGTCACTTCCTAAGACAAGGCAGGATATGTGAGAAGAAAATGTACAATTCTTTGATTAAACTTATTTCCCACTGACCTAAACTTTGTGTGATTCGTGGGAAAAATAAATAAATGTTCTACACCAAAAAAAAAAAAATACATGAAAGTATATATTGGGTTGTGATAAAAAGTTATTTCTTACTCTAGGTAATGGTAAAAAATGTTTGAATGCCAATGATACAGATGAGAGGCAAACAGTCTAGCTGGCTCTTGTCTCAGCTCTGGTGCTAACTTTGGCACATATTCCTTCCTCCTGACCCCCAATTTTTGGGCATCAGATGTTCTAACACTTGAGGAAATTGGAATAAATGTTCTCTAAAGATTCCTAGAGCTGACCTGATAGGTCACAGCTCTTTCTCAAAGAAACAACTCTAGTTGTAAAAGGATATTTATTGAATGCTAGTTGTAGCAGAAGCTGGCTGGTTGTTTACTTAACCTATTCTTTATTTCTCCTGGGAACAACACTAGTCAACATTCCCTAATCCCACTGGAATTAAGTAGGGGCATGTGCAACATTTTTAGCCAATGAAATATGAATGAAAATATTGTGTGCCATTCCTAGGCCTGACTCAAAAACATGTCCTGTGTGCTACTTACATTTTTTATACATTCATTTTTCATTGAATGTATAAAATGTAAACCTTGGAATGAATATGTTAAGAATGACAGAGGAAGTCAGATGAAATGGAGGAGTAGGCAGCTTCAAGCTCTTATGCACCCACAGAAACTTAGAAAAACAAGCAGGAACTGTCATAATCAATGTTGTCAGAACTCCGGAAAACATTCAAAGGCTTACATGAACCAAGTAAATGTTAAATCAAGAAAACGTCCACTTGAAAATAATAGGAAAGTTTTCTGCTATTTTTACTTGTACTTGCTATATCCCTCACCCCAGAGCAGTGGCAGTCCTAAAGTAGTGGGAGTTTTAAGGTAGCATCAACCTGTGTTCCTAGTGTGAGACCTCAGTACCTGATTCCAGAGTGAGCTAAGCAAACCTTACTGACAAATTACTGTGTATGTCTGTCCTAACCTCTTTGAGGGCTATTTGAAGGACCCATAAAAGGTATTTATGTATGTTCCACTCAATTCAGAATGCAGATTGGAAAAGTGATAGCCACTGTTTCAAAATGCTCCAAGGCAAACTAACAAAACACAATGCCTAGGGCAAAGATTATGGATTAAGACATAAAACAGACTGTCTGAATCTGGGAGCAAAAGCTGGGGGAGGTTACCTGAGAAATAAGGACATTAAAAAGCATCCACATGGAGGAATTTAGAAAGGTATATGCATACACAGGACAAGACACATGCTCAGAAAATACTAGTGGAGACCTAAAGCTTACATGTCAGGCTGATCTTTAAGCTAAGTACACATCTGGCTAACTGCTGAAGGAGTGCCCCAACACAGAGCCAATCTAAAAGAAATGGGAGAAGTGTGTGGCTGTTTTTTCTTTTGGGTGATGTTGTATTTTAACTTTTAGCATTCAATTAAATTGCTGTCCAAACACTAGCAGAACATGAGCTAAATTAACATAGGTTTCAATTACTATACATGACAAGAAATAGAGTATTTACAAAAATAGTTTGGAAAAACATCTGAACAAATGGACTGCTAGCCTAGGCAGCATGGCAAAACCTTGTCTCTACCAAAAATTGGTTGGGCATGGTGGCATGCACCTGTGGTCCCAGCTACTCAGGAGGCTGAGGTGAGAGGATCATTAGAGCCCAGGAAGTGGAGGTTGCAGTCAGCAATGACCATGCTACTACACTCCAGTCTGGGTGACAGAGCAAAACTCAGTCTCAATTAAATGACAACAAT